GAAAATATGGTCCTGATATACTAACGCTGTTGCGACTTTTCTCGATTCGTTCTCTTACATAAAATGACAGCCTGACTGTCGTGTAGCTTTTATACAATTTTTAAAGGCCATTGAAAATGTAGAATTTTTTTAATGTGTTAAGCTTTGACCACTGACTTCCTTTGAATCATCCAATCGTGTTAATTTCACCAAAATTTTAGAAATGGAAATTGTTTTCCACGTGGAACATTTCGCGATGTTGAAGACAAATTACTCTTAATTATTTATGTTATAATCATTTTTATCAATCTATTAGAAGTCTGATACTTGATTGATATGATTTTTGCTTATATTAAAATGAAAAGTAAATGTAAATTGTTGGAGAGTGGAACTTTCTTCAATTCACCAACTGATTCGCGATGCGGAATGAGAGTAATTGAAATGTTACCGTAATATAGAGTATATAAATGTTATTATAGTCCAAAGACATAAACATTATGCAACTCATAGAAATGCAATAATTTATACACAATTTTAAATGTTATTCCCATGTTAAAATTCAAATATTCAATTTGGAATGTTGCGTAATACGTTAAAAGCTTGAATTATAGACTCATTTTGACTGCGGGAATGAATAACTTTGGCTATTGAAAAATGCAAATTTCCAGGAGAAAGTTCTTCGTTCGTGGGAAATTTCGTAATGAATCAAAGATCTCGTTGTTGTTGCTCGCTGTTTGAATAGTCATGTTCAAAAGCATGTATGAATACGTTTTTGAATAATTAATTTCTCAATTCATGCATTCAGTCCGGGACTTTTACTTCAGTATTCGCATTGTATCGTGTACCGTCGTTCTCAGTGGCACTTTAGTCTAACACATGTAAAGAATTTTAGTATAAGAAAGTACTGATGGCTTTATTACCAATGAATAATTGATAGTTTGAAAAAGCGAATATCTGTACGAAAATTGTATGCTTATATTGTGCTGTGCAGCTCTTCTTAGGTAACATGTGCAGCGGTCCAAAGCTCCAGAAGGAATATTAGTTAGTTAGTTTTGTTATAATATTTTTCCAGGAAAAATGGTCAAATTGAATACCGAGATCTTCATCTAATACCGAGATCTGCATCCAATGCTACTCATCATTGATGTGATATAAGTTTCTTTTGTTATAAAGCCTTTTTAAGAGAAGAGAGTTTTAGAAAATTTTTGTAGAAAGACAGTTTAGAAAGAGTTGTGGCTTGGTTGTACGAATGTTAAATTGAATTTCGGTGAATTCCTTTTTGCAATTACCGTTATCAGTAGATCAGCTGACGCTGCAGAACGTTAATCTGTTAAGCAACGGCATAAATGCTGATGGTAATTCTGCTGACGCAACTCAAGGCCACACGCAAAAGCCTGGGAACGTCGCTAAGCACACACGTCGTCATCCTTCGTCCGTAGGCTTGCTCTCTCATCTCGTCTGATACAGCGGCCAGCCCGGCTGCCTCCACACAGAAAAAATATAACTCAGTACTCACTGCAGTGAGTGACAGAGAGCGCATTTTCTCGTCGACGAAAACGTGAAGTCACGAACGGACAGACAGATGGACAGACGGACATGGCGAGCACAATAGTGTATTTTTTAAATAAATGAGAAAATGCGCTAAAAATATAACTCAGTACTCGCTGCAGTGAGTGACAGAGAGCGCAGTTTCTCATCGACGAAAACGTGAAGTCACGGACGGACAGACGGACGGACAGACAGACGGACGGACAGACAGACGGACGGACGGACAGACGGACGGACAGACGAACATGGCGAGCACAATGGTGCATTTTTCCATAACTGAGAAAATGCGCTAAAAATGACCTTGACTTGTCCAAATAGCGAGGCACTAATTACCTTTATGCGGGTCATCCTTCTGACCCGTTTTGGTATGGTAAAAAGACGTATCAATTATGCGTGCAGAAAGTGTGTCACTTTTTGGAAAGTGTGGGTCATTAGCTTCTCTGAGTGCGTGTCTTTTTCAACTCCAATTTTTACAATATTTTTCAAATATTTTTTTCTCACACCGACATGTTTAATTGGTGCCAACTATTACTCTTTTCAGCGCATTTTCTCATTTACGGAAAAAATGCGCTCTCTGTCACTCACTACAGTGATCTAATTTTTAGCGCATTCTCTCATTTATGGAAAAAATGCACTATTGTGCTCGCCATGTCCGTCTGTCCGTCCGTCCGTCCGTCCGTGACCTCAAGTTTTCGTCGACGAGAAAATGCGCTCTCTGTCACTCACTGCAGTGAGTACTGAGTTATATTTTTTATTGCTAGAATTGCGGTGGGTCAATATTAACGGTATAATTTATCGGTAATCTATCGAACTATAAGGTATTTGGGTCATGAATTCGTCAAATTATTCTTTGAAGAAAGGTTTTTACTCATGTTTGAGAGTTGAATGTTGAGTCCTTTTTGTGATTCAATTATTTTTTCAGGAGCTAAAGAATATTATTGAACTTCGAATTGATATGTTATTTTCGCGATACTAAACTGACTATCTTAACTTCTTGCGTGATTTCTTTGATTGATTACCATTTAACACAGCTAAAATGTGATCATCATATTTTATTTTTTTTTATTCCTTGAAATTCTAAAGAATCTTAATTATTTCCAGGCTGTTTAGGATTTAGTTTGGATTGATGTTTTTTAAATGAAGTTATTTTGTAGCATTCTGTCACGTCTACAATTTTGCACTAAACATTCTTTTTTGTAATGGCCAAATTTTGTCAATTAATATCTTAATTAACTAATCAATCACCCTGTACTACCGCAATAATAATAGTTGCATAAGATCTTGCCAAGGTTATAATCTGGATTTCAATTTTCTATGAAGATAGACGTGGTAATTTAAATTAGCTATGTTTGTTTAATTATACTGCTTATCTATTTAATTGTAGAGCTCGCTATACTGCTTATAAACAATCAAGGTTAGTTACTCATCACCACTTTATCACAATATTTGCGTAACTCGACTGTTTTAAAGATTTTTATACACACTATGTTGAAGATTCCTAATTATTGTTCTCAGGAGCTTCCACTTTCCGTATTCAATCGTTTCTTTTTCAATCGTTGTTTTTTAATTGCGCTGATCGAATCAAGTGGAATTAATACAATCATTAATGAAGACAACAATACACTGATCCCAAGGGTTCATCAAGCCAATATGAGCTAATTTCTGTGCTCTAAAAATCGATTGCTACCATAGCAATCACAACTCACGTCATAATTACATTATGATCTCAAATGATGATTTATGACTATAATGGCCACATACTTTTTCACTTTGAAATATTTTGTACACCAGCAGCAATCAAGTGTAACAAAAACCTTGCATTATCTCATATTGCATCCTGCCTCAAGCTATCGTTGCAAAGAGGAATTGTTATTTTACCGATTAGGGAAGCTAGGTGGTAAATTTGTACTTAGCACCGACTTGAATAAATGGTTGGTAAACTAGTTGATAAACTAGTTGGTAAACTATTTGGTAAAGTAGTTGGTAAACTAGTTTGTAAACTAGTTGGTAAACTAGTTGGCAAACTAGTTGGTAAACTAGTTTGTAAACTAGTTGGTAAACTAGTTGGCAAACTAGTTGGCAAACTAGTTGGTAAACTAGTTGTTTGAGCCGACTAGTAAAGCATCCAGTGAAAAATAACAATGCTTTATGGTGCTCGACGATGGGCATAACAAGCTTCACTAATATAAGCTTCGATTCACAAAGAGAAATAAAATGCTCCCACTCAGTTCATTTTTATGCAAGATGCTTCTCACTATGATGTGCGTTCAATAAGTTCGTATATGTGAATTGTACATCAGGTAATGGGAACTGCTGAGCTCTGCTCAGACGACTGCTGTGCGAAAATAAAAATATTATAAATTTGCTCAAATTATTCGGCATAAAAGACTTAATTCACGTATTTCCGTCAATTGATTAATTTTGAAGTGAATTGTACTTCACCCATTTCGCGCTATGGCTGAAATTTCAGGAACGTTTAATGTCCAGGCCTCACAGCCGGATTCGGCCGTGAGGCCTGGACATTTCAGGGTAATCGTATGCAAATTATCTGTGAGAATGTTTGGATTGGCGAGAGCTCGGAGAGAGTCGAGGACGAAATGCATTCAGCAGTCTTCAGCTAGCGGGCTCTATATATTGGCGCGATGCACGAAATGCGTGTCGTCGTTTTTTCGTCCGAAGTATTCAATGAAGTACGGGTGCTGAAGTACAGGAGGTGCTCACGGATTCGAATTTAAACCGAATTAAAAATGCAATGAGTGAGACAAGTATAATTAAAATATGGACGCTGAGAAACTATCCGTGAGTTCTCATTGTGCTCGATGGTTCAAGCAATATACTATACCAAGTCTTCAAGCAATATACTATGTACCCATTTCAGTGAGCCGTTTACAAATTACTTTACAATTTATTGTATAATTTAAAATTCGATATCAGACAATCGAACTCTAACCTCACATTAAATCATTTGCCATAACTCATGATTCAGCGTTTATTTGTCCATTTATTCCCCTTATAAGACTCAATTCATCACAACTACTCGTTCATTTGTCCAATTATTCCCTATGTAAGGTTCCATTTATCACTACTAAGCGTAAATTTATCAAATTATTCCCTTTGTAAGATACCATTCACCACTAATAAGCGTTTATTTATCCAATTATTCCCCTTGCAGGACTGCATTCATCACAAATGAGCGTATATTTATCCAATTATTTCCCTTGTATAAAGACTCCATTCATCACAGCTAAGCGTTTATTTATCCTATTATTCCCCTTATAAGTCTCCATTCATCACAACTAAGCGTTTATTTATCCAATTATTCTCCTTGTAAGGTTCCATTTATCACTAATAAGCGTTTATTTATCCAATTACTCTCTTTGTAGGACTCCATTCATCACTAATACGCATTTATTTATCTAATTATTCCCTTTATAAGATATCATCACCACTCACTTATTTCGTCCCGCACGCAGCACGCAAACTCCGTACGCGCGGCCGCAGAGGAGGCCGCCCGCAACGGCCGCAGCCTCTCCGGCCGCTGGACGGTCCCTCTCACCGACGTCGTCTGGAGGCCCAGGGTCGAGCCTGGCTCCTTTAGGGCCAGGGACAACGTTTCCAACTTCATCAGGTAATTCCTTGCGTGCTCTGAGGTATTAGTATTAGGTAATTAGTTACGTACTCTAGTAAATTAGTGCCCGGTAATTTTTTGCACACTCTGGGGTATATATAGTGTAAGGTAATTCTATGCATGTTAAAAGTAACTAGCATTAGGTAATTCTTTGCATAACCTAATATATTGACAACCTTCATCTCATCATCAGAGAAAACACCTCAAAATTTAATAGTTGATTCATTTTGTGTTGGTTACTCTTAGATACTTGCATTCTCCGTATTATTATTGCAGGTAATTTTTCCACTAAGATGAAGCTGCTGTGACATCATTATATCCAAGTGCTCGAGACTTCTATTCTTATGGATGCTATTTAAAAAGTATCTGATTCTAAATCCACCAAATTAATTTTAAATATGTCTTCTGCTATAAAAGAGGTACTTTATCGTCTGTCCGACCCCTTGTAAAAAGATGGAAAGGCAATTTTATGATTGCAGACCGGCCATTAGCGTCTATTGCGTGGATTGTGGAATTTTCGATTCGTAATTCAATCTCTATTTCGAGACAAATATTTCAAAAGATATTATTAGAATTACTTATGTTATTTGTTTAAGTATTGTTATCTTAGAGAGTTTGTCCAATAGGCGTTGCACATTTTGCATTAGGGTGGGTCATCTGGTCCCAGTTTGACACAGCAAAAGGGAGTCTACTACATTAAGAAAGTGTGGGGAATCTAGCACAAAAAAAGTCTACTACAAAAAGAGAGTTTACTACAAAAGTGAGTCTACTACCTTAAGAAAGTGTGTCACTTTATGTGGACAATATTCAAATTAATTTTTCGCATGGTTTTTTGTGGTATAAATGTTTGTATGGTTTTGTTTTTGTTGCTGCAGATGGTGCAGGTTGTTGGGCATCCACGAGGTGTTGCTGTTCGAGACGGACGACTTGGTGCTGCGCAAGAACGAGAAGCACGTCATTCTTGCCCTGCTCGAGGTCGCCAGAATGGGATACAAGTGAGTACGCATTTATCTTCACGTTGTGGGGTAAAATTTACTCTAGAAAATAAGATATGTTTGAGGTTATATGTAGGAAATATAACGGAGAAAATAAGGGTTCAATGATGGGATATTTGTAATTGGCTCGTTAGTAAGAAATTTACTGCGGTCCCTCATCAGCCAACGATGGCTGATTCCTTTTTCCGAGAGAGTGGAAAAACTAATGCTATACCAGCTTCTCCATGCGCCCATTTGCTCTCATAGGACGAACTGTTCTCTGATGTGACAAACGCTCCTCTCGTGTGACCAACTTCCATCTTATATGACTAGCTTCCATATTATGTGACCAACTTCCATCTTATAAGACTAGCTTCATATTATGTGACCAACTTCCATATTGTGTGACCAACTTCCATATTGTGTGACCAACTTCCATCTTATAAGACTAGCTTCCATATTATGTGACCAACTTCCATCTTATAAGAATAGCTTCCATATTATGTGACCAACTTCCATCTTATAAGACTAGCTTCCATATTATGTGACCAACTTCCATAATATAAGACTAGCTTCCATTTTATGTGACCAACTTCCATCGTATGTGACCAACTTCCATATTGTGTGACCAACTACCACGTTATGTGACCAACTTCCATTCTATGTGACCAACTTTCATTCTATGTGACCAACTTCCATTCTATGTGACCAACTTCCATCTTATATGACTAGCTTCCATATTACGTGACCAACTTCCATCTTATAAGACTAGCTACCATATTACGTGACCAACTTCCATCTTATGTGACTAACTTCCATAATTTTTGGCCAGCTTTCCTTTTTTGTGACCTGGGCCAAATCTTACCGACTTCTCTTTCATGTGACCAAAAAAATTCTTTATCGTACAACTGCCTTCTTTCTATTGTGACAATTTTCATTCTTCTAAGACCACTCCCTCTCTTATCTGATAGTATAAGTCATTTCCCTTCTTTTGCGGTCACTATGCGAACACTTCCCTCACATGCAACAAACTTCCCTCTTTTGCAAGCACAAGCTTGCGCGAACACCTCTCTTCTTCCACGACCGTTTCCCCTCTAATGCGTCCATCTTTGAATTTATGCAATAAACGCTGCATTTATATGAATAAATGTCTTCTTATTTAGCAACAAACTCTCATTTTTTGCGAACATTTTCCCCATTAGACCACATCTCTTCTTGCTCTCATATAAGAGCAAGAAGCTAATCAAGTCACCAAAAGTTCAAGAATCGGCAACAGGCCATGGACCTATTTCTTTAACGCCGACACTTCTATTCTATATGCTCTTATATAAGTGCAAGCTTCTCATCTAATGTGCATGTAAGGTTCTCGTGTCTTTGCGCCATCGTTATGCATTTATTATGCAAGATTTTTTTCAAGATATGTTATGCATTTTTAAATTTGCTACGCTCACGATTTTCTTCACATAAAATTCGAGCTCATTATCAGTGTCGACCGATTCTCTGTGATGAAACGATAAATGGTTGGTGACTACCGATTATTCGATGGTGATTCTTCAGAATTTAATCCTTAAGAATGCTAAGAATATCAGCACTAAAAAAACATTTAGCTAATATTTTTTTGCCGCCATTATTAATTGCTGATTTCAACATAGATATAAAAGACCTCTAATAACTATTTGTCGTTAGTGTTATTAATTGATTATGTGACTAATTTATGCTCAGGATTACCTATCAATAAAGTGACCTAAGCAAATAAAAAGTACCTTTTGCTAGATTTTAAAACTCCAATCAATTTGTCTCCAGAAAACTCGTGTTGTTTGGACGCAATGATGTACATGCAGGCAATCCAAACTTCACCGCTTGGTTTAGAAGTTGCGCGATTCTTAATTGGTTCTAACTGGTCTGTCCTGCTCTTAATTACTTCTGAAAATAATTTGTCAATTTTAGTCTCCAGGACTTACTATTACAGCCTGTAAGTTATCATCCGTTTAATAAAGGCATTATATTTTCTGAAAGTAATTTGATAAATGTTCGATGCTATTACATTTCTTTACATTTCAAGTGAGTAGAATCGGTAAAAATTTTCATTTAATCCTATAGGTAAAATTTACTTTTTGGAATTCTTACAAATATTACGACCTAAACTGAAGGTGAACTCGGGTTTCGGGATTCGGTTTCAATTTACATTTAATGAAAATAGGTCACCTTAATTGATTGGAGGCTGGCGACATGAGTGTTTTGGCGACTTACGTGTCACTGCCTGCAGAAAAAATCTCAGTAATCTTGAGGAAAAAGTGAACGATAGTTGCTGAAAACACAATTTTCAAACGCCTCGACTATCATTCAGAAAATAATTTCCAAGTGATGCCACAATTCCACGTAGAGCCACAATTAACGTATCTATAGGATACGACAGTGGATGATGCGTCTCGAGGTGTGTCAAGAAGTGCGAGTGTGGCAAAGACAATCAAGTAAATGTTACTTGCACAACTTGGTGCTTGGTTCCACAATTTTCTTATTGAGTAACGTCAGTAACACGTCGCCGTTCGCTGTGACGTTACCGTGGTTGCTTTGAGTTTAACGCTTGAATGCGTAAGTCGATTGCAACGGACACAGGAAATGGAGAGTGCATAGCGAGAATCGTAATTGGATTGTCTTCCATCATCAATTAGTGCGTTTATTCATTTAGAATGTAAAATTATTGCTTCTATTTAAAATTCCTGAAATAATATATTAATGTCAGATTTAGTGGACTAATTGTTGGTTTTCTCGTGCCTATTATATGAGATCAAATTTGATTGCATTTTTGTATTAACAAATATAATTTTTACGTGGCTCTATATTTATTTTCGCTCCGTGAGATTTCTATTCCAGTGTATGACTAAACGGAGTTAGTTGTTCAGCATGGAGTGGAGAAAATTTCTAGGTTGCATGCTTAAGATTTGAATGAGTTCTTCGCTACGGATTTATAACATATTTTCATATCACTAAAAACAGATCCTCCTTTAGTATTTTGCGTTCAAAAAAATGGTTTCGCCTCAAACTTAATCCTCTTTATCAAATTTGAAAATTCGCTTTATATGTGCGAGAATTTTAGATGATGTTCTGCACATCCACAGCCGAACGTCATTCTATCCCGCAATTATACTGTCACAAACAACACTGTTACATTGACATATAGCCACAAAGAGCATCATCCCGCACAGCTACCGTCACTAACAACATCGTCCCGCACAGCTACCGTCACTAACAACATCGTCCCGCACAGCTACCGTCACTAACAACACCGTCCCGCACAGCTAGTGACACCGTCCCGCAGAGCTACCGTCACTCGCGGGCGTTGCGCGAGCGGTAGACCCCCGCCCTTCTCCCGCGCTTCATAACCGCAGCTCCCACGATAACATCTCTCGTAGACTTTCTTCTCAGCGACCACCGCAGCAATAACGTGTAGCGCGTGCGACGTATTTACACGCAGAAAGATGAGGGAATTCTTGTACAAATAGCGATGCACTTGTTGCTCTTGAGTGGGTCATCCTCATCCTGTGTAGCTCGGCATAAGGGTGTATCGGTGCTACAGATGCTCTCTGCTTGTGTTGTGTGCAAAAATGTGTCACAATTTGGATGATATGAAGCGTTAATTTTTCTTAATATACACTCGAGCGAAAGAGATGCATGATGCAAGCGCCACCGCAGGACTGACATCTTCCCGCAGTACAGCATATGTTGTAATATAAATTATAGACTTTAATTTGGCTCAGAAGCGTTCAGTTTGCAGTCTATAACCATCGCATAATTATTATGTCCTGAAAGCGTGGAACTTTTGGTTTTACTGAACTGTTATTTTGCCTATTGGTGATCTATATTCACTTTCGATGTGCTTCTTTGGATTATTGTAATTATTATTTTACAAATAATAATTTTATTTAGCATTGTAAATTTACAAATTATTGTAAATTTGCCGTATGCTCTGCTCTCTCTTTTCTCTTCGTGGACCAAATAATAACGATTGGGCCCAATAATAACTGAAGTATGCTTGAAACTGGTTTTTATTTTAGTCGGTCAGTAACAAAACATCCCGTAGAAGTAACACACTTCATTTGTGCATCAAGTATCGGATTGTTATCCTTACTTTTCATTTGCTGTACATATAAGCATTTAACATTTCGACTGTGTAAGAAAAATGTGTAATATTTTATTAATATGTGAATGAATTCTGATCAGTTTCACAAATCAGGTTCTCTTTGGCATCGTTGGCAAGATATAGTTTAGTCTCCGCTTGAAAGAGATTGTTCGAGTACAGCAGATGTTCGGTAATTTGCACAACGTCCGTGCGTATTAAATGCAAATGCGCTCGTCGACTCGACGAATGCAGCCTCTGCTGCGACCATCGCTCGCTGCTGCGCTCCCTTCATGACTTCAAAGCTTATTTATTTAGCGGTTGTGTGGTGTGAGATACACTTTGTTGGTCAGAAGGCTTTTCAATCAATCGAGCAGCTTTTCGAGCTTCGGATTGATTCCGAAAATATCGGATGCCTCCTGATTGTGACTTATAGAGAAACATCGGATGGATAGAAAAATCGGTCGTTCTAGGACTGTGGGATGAAAAGAAATATCGATCGTCTTATAGGATTGTGGGATGGATAGAAATATCGATCGTCTTAGGATTGTAGGATGGATAGAAATATAGATCGTCTTATAGGATTGTGGGCTGGATAGAAACATCGATCGTCTTTGGATTGGGACAAATAGAAACATCGATCGTCCCTGGATTGTGGGATAGATGCTATATACCTGCTCGTGCAAAGATTGAGAAGTGGGTGAAAATATCAGACGCTTATAGATTATGAGATGTATGAAACTGAAAAATTAAGAAACGATGAAATAATTGTGATCAGTTGATCAAAATCTAAAACGCATAATCTCATGGATGGAGAAGGGGAAAATAATGAGGGTCTAATGGCTTCAGAAAAAGGAATTGGGACCTGCAGACGCATTGCAGGGTAATTACTAAATGCAAGGACGCTGCAACTTTTTGCGGCGAATCGAGAAAGAAGTGCTCGGCAATGAACGCTGCTGCACTGCATCACTGCAGTAACCGAGGCGCGGTTCTACTGGAAAGCGTCGTTGTGGAGACGATGCATTTCATTGCCTGGTATGTTTTGCTGCCACGTTGTGAGGTCGCGATCCAGCAGAGACTGTGCAGAGCGAAGTGCTGCAATCGTGCAATACGACAGCGCAGTGTGCAGAGCAACACAACACGCTCTTTACACACTGCGCGTGTATTTAAATCTGCGCAAATAATTTACTGGGTACAAATTTGTGGCACGAAATCTATGCACGCTCTACGTGAATAGAAACTCGTTACACGCGTAGCAGTTCAGTGCACGCCCAGCAACTTACTGCACGGAGCGTGATCCTGTCACAGGATAAGTGCTCCTCAGGGAGCGTTTTTGGTCCAGAGTTTCTTGCTGCTCCCCGCAATTGCTTCTGCTCCCTAACCTTCCTTCCATTTATTACCGCCCCTCCAGACCTCCACCTTTGATCATTACTCTGTCTCTCCACGCATTGCTGTCCATTGCGCCCTCCACTTATTTTCGCTCCTCCAGAACTTCACTTTTTGCCATTACTCCATCTCTCCACGCATTGCTGTCCATCCATCTTTTTACTTACTGCCGCCCCTCCAGTCCTCCACTTTGTGCCATAGCTATATCTCTCCACTCACTGTTGTCCATCCATCTCTTTACCTACTGCCGCACCTGCAGACCTCCACTTATTAGCATTACTCCATCTATCCTCACATTGCTGTCCATCCTGCCCTCCACTTATTGCCATCACTCCAGATTTATACGGTTCATCGTCCCCCCGTGCTGTCAGGTCTTCTTCCCTACACTTCTTTTATTGTCTTGCCTTCCAGCCCTCCTATACTATTGAAAAGAGGTGGTCCCACTGAAACGCAATAATGGCGGAATGGGCCGCTATTGGAATGCTTGACATACCTAAATATTTAATGATGATCGAACTTCTTATCATCACAACGTCATAACGGAATATGTCATTTAATATCAAGTGTGCCAGAGTTATAATAGTTTTGCTATCTGTATACAGTTAAAGTTCTCTCTGGTATATTGCCGCCAGATGTTTCATTTGAAACCGTCATCTCTTTTGACACCGCGAGTCTAAATCTTCAAGTTTCAGATTTAGAAAACTTGAGTTTCTATCATTTCTAGTTTCTATCATTGCGTTTTTATCGATTTCTATCATTCAACTGGTTGATTTCGCGGTATTGTCTCAGTTTTCACAGTGTCTGCAAACCAATTTAGTAGGTGAATCGCGTTACTATTTTATGCGGAAATTTTTGCGCTTTCTACTCATCCTTGAACTGTTTGCTTGCTAATAACCGCAACGTTCGTGGAGCGCATTGTTTGCGTGTGTCACCGCAGTGGTTTTTACGATACACTTGCGGGTTGCCGAGCTTCTCTCCTTCAGTCCGACTCGCATATGTTCCATCAGGGGAAATTATTATGGCTCGAGGGTACAACACATCGCTTAGCTCGACGAATGTCGCAGTGCAGAGTTTGTTTCGCCAGGGAGAGCAAAGTTATGACTCGGGGTCGGTGTACCGAGTTTGTTTCGCCTTGTAGAGTTAAGTTCTGACCTGACTTGGGGTTGCTGTATCGAGTTTGTTTCGCCAGGGAGAGCAAAGTTCTGACTCGGGGTCGGTGTACCGAGTTTGTTTCGCCTTGTAGAGTTAAGTTCTGACCTGACTTGGGGTTGTTGTGTCGAGTTTGTTTCGCCAGGGAGAGCAAAGTTCTGACTCGGCGTCGGTGTACCGAGTTTGTTTCGCCAGGGAGAACAAAGTTCTGACCTGACTTGGGGCTGCTGTGTCAAGTTTGTTTCGCCAGGGAGAGCAAAGTTCTGACTCGGCGTTCGTGTATTCAACAAATCTCTTAGTTCTACGAATGTCACTGTGCTAGGTTTATGACCCAAGCTTGGCAGTGAAAAGTTCCGACTCGGCGTCTGTTTTCTGATTTTGTGTTACAGGGTCTCCATGCTGAGTTAGTGGATGGGGTTTCTCGGCTCATTAAGTTGAAGACTAGATTTCTCTTTGATAGGTCAATGAGAAGGATTTTACCTTGATAAATTTTGACACATTAGCAATCGATTTCAGTCCCGATGCTTGATTTTTCTTTTACGTCGCAATAAGGTTGCATGACAGCTTTCACGTGATTAATATCGCCACGACTGGACACCTGTGGGCTCAATGTTCCTCTATTGACATCGTTCTCAGTCAAATCGTTTTAATTTTACTCTTCTTAGGAGGACCTCGCTCTCTAGAGTGGATATTTGAACCTCGTTACCCTCCGCAGTTTTAGTACCTCAAGGATTAGAACTATAAGCTTTCAGTTTCTTTACAGTCTGCGTTCAGTTAGAGCTGTTTGACTTTCTTCTAAGGCTCTGGCCCCAAACCAGTGCTATAAAGTCTTCTGTATTTGCTTCGCTTTGGTTTGTCCTTGGTAATTCAGAATCCCATACCAATGCTTTTATTCGAATCCCTGCCGATATTTTGCCACTTAGCCCGAGTTATCTTCTTGTCTCTGCTTGGGCCATGCTTAGTCGGAATACCATGCTTAGTTCTAACTTCTGAGTTTTTACATTTTGGTTCGTTCATTAATTTGGCTCTACGTGTGAATTTTTTGCTAAGATAGAATAATTTGTTTCTGCCATGATTCATGTTCGCGTGCTGAGTGCTTACTCTTTACACATATGTATAGTCATGATGCTTGCTCCTGATGCGTCTTGCTCTCTTGAGCGCTCGTCCTTGATGATGCGTATTCTTTGCACATATATTCACGATTCGTACTCTTTACACATATATTCATGATGTATGCTCTTTACACGCATAGATTCATGATGCGTGCTTATTACACATATATTCATGATGCACGTAAGGAGCACATAACTGTGCTCTTCACACATCTATTCATGATGCGTGCTCTTTGCACATATTCAGACTCATTAGTGAGCACCTCAATTAGGGAAGGAAGACGCTGCTCATTATGAGCTGCCACCGAACACTTGCGCTGTTCCTGCGCGGCTGTCGTCCCTTGCTCCAGTTGCGTCGTCGCGTGCGCCATTGGAAAGCTCAGCGATGTGGGTCACTTACGCTGCGGTCGCCAGCAGCGCCGTGCGGTTGGTCATCATCAAGTTTACGCTCAAATAGGCTCGCACTTCCTCATCCGTGTATGTCATGCGCTTTATCGTGCGTTCTTGGGTTGAGTGCAACCTGCCTACGAGCGCTAGCTTCTATCGTGAACCTGCCGTATCTGGCCTTGTTGTCATGTGCATATTCATAGGAATTTTTTGCATGTTGGATAATACATATTAATGATAATTGGATAATTTGTAGATTTTAGTAAGAGCCGTTCTTTTGCATGCATGCTTTTAGTTCAATTTGAGGTGTTTCAAGTTGTTAGCTAATTATTATCTTGTTTTCCGGAAATGGACCTTTACAGAGGTTGATCCAAACTCGCTGTTGGTTACATCATTAAATTTCTTTCTTAATTTAAGCCTACTTCATTTTGAGTTCGAGGTATATTGAACAGCGTATATTTCTACTTGAATGCTAATTAAGTTAGTTCATTACGATTTATGTAAATAATACCATATGACGTGAAGATGTTGCACGTTATTTCAGAAACTCCCTCTCATCTATGGCAATAATTTCTTGCATGTAATTCTAAATTCCATGATTTATTTTGACAGAATTTGAAATATTTGCACCTAGATAAGTCACTTAGATAATTATTCGAAGAAAGTCTGGTGATTAATTCTTCAAAGTGTGATTTGGTTAGGTTATAAAATTTCCTCTCAATTGACTCCGTGCATGGATGTTGTATCCTGAATCATTAAAACTGTGCTACTAGTTGCAGTTGCATGACAGGACTGCTTACTTTGCCTTCAAGTAAATATATTTATGTAAATATATAAACATTTATCCGTCTATGGTCATATAATTCGCGGTGGCCAAGGATAAACTTACAATTAGATTACAATTAAATTAGATTACAATTAAAGATCAATTAAACAATTAAATTAAATTTTACAATTTAATATAGCGCGTCATCGATGAGCTAGTAGAGGAAAGTTTGCCGGCAGTTCACCGCTTCAGATCCAGTAATAGCTGGCTAAACCTGCACGCTAGGAGTGACGCTGCTCTGCCCTACGTACGCAGGGTTTACAGAGATTTAGTTTTACTTAACCGTGACCGAATAAAAATGACTGATATTGTTGTGATCCTGAAGAAATTTCATGTCATAAACTGTTAACATGTAGCCATTTAACAATTTCCGTGAAAATGCTTATGTTAAAGTCGAGAATTCTTACTAACGCCTATGGATTCTCATATAAAACACACATCGGTTTGCCTGTACACTGTTGGAAAAATTACCGTTAAACGGTATTACCGGCGTTTTAGTGGCCGGTCGGCACGTGAAAAGAAACACCGTGTCGCCGTTTTTATTCTAATTTAACACTAGAAATCCGTAAAACATCTGATAAAAACGGCGGAACAGTTTATTTTACGGGGCGGCCGGCCACTAGAAAGCCAGTGGGACCGTTTTTCACCGTTTTTTTCTAACAGTGTAGAATTTTTTCACATAATGTGAAAGATTGAAATGTTGAATACACATAGTGAATATGATGAGCCATCACTAGGAGGGAATGAGCCTCAGCTGCACATCATCTTCTGATGATGAGCAAAAGTTTGCCTCCCTTCGAAATTTAACGTCTCATTAGCTGCTCAGGTCGGGAGGAGTTAGGGAGAATCTTCGTTATACAGAAGCAGTATTATACAGAAAATTCTTCAGAAATTCAATCAGGGCGTGCGTTCTTCATCGTACTGTTTCGTTTCGATTAATACATTATCTTCAAAATCTTGATATTTTTCGGACCATTGACGATCGTGTAATAAAATTGCTTATATCCAGGTAATCAAACTTATTGACGATTAGTATAGTTTATTTTTTCTTATATAGATATGCAATTGATCATGGCGAATTTCATAATAATTCTTCTCGCAGGCTCATTGGCAATTAACAGAGACATTGTAAAATACTTTATTCTACTTGCTTGTAGATTTCGGGATATTGAAAAGTGAGATTGAGAAGCTTTCAATGCAATATTATTACAAAATTTCTACTTGTCAAAGAATTTTGTGAAATATTCGAATTTTATTATAACGGATATGAGTCTCCTTTTAATCTTCATTGTTCATCATGTAAATATGCATAAACATTTTTAAATGAAGTTATTCAATCCTAAACTAAGAAAGTACAGCTGTTGTGAAAGTTAAATAAGCCTCTGTTTGTTTTTAAGTTATTAATTTTTAGAGCAGCGGTTTTCAGCCTTGACGCCACATTTATATTAACTGCTCTGAGTAAACTATGCGTGCATATTCTATATTCTAGGCAGAGTTGATAGTCTCCTGACTTAACTTAAAAAAATAAATTTAATATTTGTGCGAAAATTTACCCTGTGTGCGAATTCATGCGACTTTAACACGTTGACTACGATTGCTTCATCTTGTACTATTATTTCATTTTTTGTACCGTTTTTAAACAGTTTTGCCAGACGGTCATTTTTTCCGGACAAATTTCGTGATTTAGTTTTTCTCAATTGCGTTGGCCGGCTAAAATTTACGATAGGGATACTTCCTAATTAAATTTTATATACTGTAAAAAGAAAATAAATGGAATTTTTATAGCAGAAGCTACAAATAAACTAGTATATATTGAGTTATCGGCCTTTTGTTTGGCCTTTTTTGTTCTCGGATTTGGCCGATTTTAGGCAACCTTAATTATGTACCCCTACGTCCTGGAGAAATATATTTCGTGGTACGCATATGTACCACTTCGTAGTCAACGTGTTAAATTTATTCCAATTTTCTTACACGTAAATCGTGCAGGTTTTGGCTGGAATAATTTTTACGTGATAACGCCTCACGTTGCATACGCGGATGGCTGTAAACCAGCACATCAGGGACAATCATGCCGCAACAGTCCCTTTTCACACATATAATTTCAACATTACCTGCATACAAACAGCTCAATATAATAATATAAATCACATCAATAACACACCTAGTCAATTCAATCACCAGCGCACTCTTTTCACATCATAACCAATTCACTCACCACAAACAACTCCATCATTAAGGCATATACAATATATACTCACAGTTCTATATCTTATCACTTCTAAAAACAATCAATTTCAAAAAGCCATCATTAAAATAGCACACTTCCACCAAAACAACTCCTGTAAAGAATTCCAATACTCACAGTCACAATTCATATCTAATCAATTGCAACATTAGACAGCACTCAAGCAATCATCAGCTCACTCTGCCAATATCGTATTTAAACTCAAACGCAATTCCGAAAACATCAAAAGAATTGACCACTTCCATATATTTTAAAACCTTGCCTACTCTCTCTGTATTTCACATTGTTGATTTTGCCTAAACTTGTCTAGCTTTTCCCCATCTACCATAATCTATGTAACCATAATTATTTATACCT